ACATATGTAATACTCTTTGTAATACTTTAAGCAATAAAAAAAAATTAAAAAAAAAATTCTTACAGCAACCAGTTGAAAATCTCTGCTCTATCTCTGGTATTACCTGTAAACTGAAAGTTAGATCTAAAGGTTTGATGAATTCAATTCAAAACTTTTTGGCTATAGTACATCTAGGCCATGTTGGGAGCTGCATTTTGTAATACATTGTAATACCTACTTAACCTACCAAGACTTATGCTAAGATTGACCAGAGTTTGGAAGAATATATTTTGGAGAGCTTCTTCATTGTATTGACGTTTGTTGTAGTGCGATTTGAGCATTGTTTGCATGATTGCATTTAATGGTTTTTGGCAAGATGTCTAATAACTTGTCTTTGCTGGGATTTGTAACGGGCCTGACTTTCAGAGGATGCTGCAGTAAAGAGTGCAGAGAACTAAGGGAAGCATCCGACTGGCAGATAACAAGTCAGGATGCAACTTCTACTATAAGACATAAAGCACAATTAACTATTTAAATTCTCATCAATTTTTAAAATATGAAAATGTTTTATCCTGCAAATGGCACATCTGTTGTTGCTGCCTCATGAGCCGAAATCCTAACTGCACTTACTTATGATAAACCATTGAGTGTGGGAACAAGAGATCTGGGAAATGTATGTCTACCTCCACGGAAGACTTAATCTCCTAATAATATAAGCTGGGGGAGGTCCCAGGAATCAGGAAGTCTTTGATAACTGGTTCATTCTAGTTCTTCTTGTTGTACCCCTTCCTGCCTCTTCACATTCCTTCAGAGCTGGTGATTCCATTCAAATGGGAAACTCTCATCCCTGAGGAAAGCTCAAGAAGGGAACTGAGTTGCCATTTTGAAAATATAATCAGCTGGTCCTCAAATAGCATCATTTTGTTCAACGTTGTTTCATTATAACATTGATGAGATGCCTTTCTAACTAACTCATTTATATCCATTAGCCTATGTTAAAATTGTGTCCCTTGTTGTGTTGCAGAACCTATCAATGATGTTAAGTGAGGACTTACTTACTGAACATACAACTAGTAAGAAAGTGAAATAAAGAAAATAAAATAAAAGATACCGCCCTCAGGGTCCTTACAGTGGTAATCACTGTTGCCAGTTTCTAGTCTATCCTTCCAAAGATAGTCTGTGTATGTAAGCGTATGTATGTGGGTATTTTTTTAACGTATGTATTTTTTAAACCTGAGTGGCAGCATGTTGTTTACTTACTTTTTTCATTTACAGAAAAGGAAATTCTGGGCAGTTCCATTGTTGGTATCCTATAGACCAGTGATGGCGAACCTTTTGAGCTTGGCGTGTCAGCATTTTGAAAAAACCCTAACTTAACTCTGGTGCCGTGTCACATATAGAAATTTTTTGATATTTGCAACCATAGTAAAACAAAGATTTATATTTTTGATATTTATTTTATATATTTAAATGCCATTTAACAAAGAAAAATCAACCAAAAAAATGAGTTCGCGTGTCACCTCTGACACGCGTGTCATAGGTTCGCCATCACTGCTATAGACCATGCTGTATGGTAAGGGGAGCTGTGTCCTAAGTTGTATACATCTTTTTCCTTCTCTCCTCCCGCCAGACATCGATGCCAGGCCATGGGACTTCCAGGCAGAAGAATGCACCTTGAGGGCCAACATTGAGGCTTTTAATAGCCGCCGGTATGACAGGCCTCAGGACTCGGAGTTTTCACCTGTGGATAACTGCCTGCAGAGTGTGCTGGGGCAGAGGCTGGATCTGCCTGAGGATTTCCACTGTTCCTATGAGATCTGGCTGGAAAGAGAGGTGTTTTCACAGCCCATCTGCTGGGAAGAGCTGCTCCAGAATCACTAAGCTCTTGTCAACAAGCATCTGCTAGATGGGGGTTGGCTCCGATAAATGGTGCTCTGCCCGCCCTGCTCATTCAGCCTTCGCTTCCAGTTCTAGAAATGCTTGTCCAGGGGAGAGCGGCCCAGTCCAAGGACATCCAGTGGGTTCAGGGTGACCTGTAGACAGTGCAAGGCAGGATCCTGAATCACAGAAACTTGATGAACTCACTCTGGGGTCATTTGGATGCCAGGTGACCTTGGAAATCTCCCGTTGGATCAGTCCTTCACATGCTCTTTTGTGGGACCGCTCTCTGCTTAGTTTTACCTAGAACCAGCCTGGCCTTTGCTGGCCCTAAGTGTGCAAATAAGTTTATGATGGCATTTGGTCCATGGCATTCATCATGGTAATGAGAGGTGCATGTCATAAAAGAGGGAGAACATTTTCTTCTTGCTCACCCTGTATTCCTAGGACTTACCAGAGGTTTGGCAAAACCAACTTTGAAATTAAGTTGTTTTTTTTATTTAAAATTTTGACACTAGTCCTGGCCAGTGTGGCTCAGTTGGTTAAAGGGTCATCCCATACACCAAGGGGTCTCGGGTTCAATTTCCCATCAGGGCACATTCCCAGGTTGCTGGTTCAATCCCTGGTCGGGGCACGTACAGGAAGCAACCGATCAATGAAAAACATATCCTTGGGTGAGAATTAAAATTTTGACACCTCTTTCTAAAGTCATTAACTCCAATTTTGGAGCACCTGCACCTTCTTTGTAAAGGATGATGATTTACTATTACCCAATCACTGCATGTTATAGAAAGGTATATTCTGTAAAGTGTTTTCCCTTTATTCTCTAAGAGATCTATGTTCAATGTGAATATTATTTTTGTGTGAACTCTGTATAAGGCATGGAGTGCTCTGTCACAACCAGCACAAAACAGGCCTCCTCGAAGGATGTTCCATGTTTTTTTTCTGAAACTACCTTAGTCTTAAAATGTCTGAGTACACTGCAGAAATTCATTTTCATCCAATTCATTTTTTAAATGACCAGTTAACTATAGATTTTATTTATCAATATGGCATGTCCATTTGCATGATCAGTTATTGAACAGCAAGACAGCTTACCATTTTTCTTCTATGTTGATTAATAATGATTTTATTTTCTTTTTTCCTGCTAGTGGTTTCAAAGTGTCATGTGGAGATTTAGCAATACTGTTTCTACCTGAAAGTATTGCACATTTCTTTGAAAATATAAGGGTTGTTGTACCAACCTCTTTAAACTTCTCTTACAGCAGAATCACATACTTCCCATAGAAACAAGGTTTTTAGAAAAGTCTGATTCAATCAGGATCATTTTATTTCTCTTCTAGTCCCACATTTGTCATCTATATTTTCAAGCTTTTTTACTTTAAATCCTCCTTCCCCCCACGTAGACATTACTGAATCTGTTTTATAACAGCACCAGGCATTTAATCGTGCCAGGGGATCTGATCAAAATGGGCTTATTTATACTCTGTCCTTTGTCAGCCACAGCCTCTCTGGAGTCATGATTGAGTTTCAAACCATATCCCAAGGAACTATTCCAAACCAATCAAAGCTTGGCTTTCCCCTCCCTGTGCTGTCAGGGAGCAGGATTTCTGTTTCTATGGATGGGTCATGTAAATATGTAATGCATGACATTTTTTTAAATACTTTGTACATTTTGCCTGAATAGGATGGTAGTCCTCATTGCAATCAAAATAATTTACTCAGCATATCCTTGTGAGCCCTATTAAACTATAATTTTAATGTGATTTCAGTAAAAAGATAATTTTCAAAGAAAGAGCAGTCATCGATCTATTTCATTTAAAGCCATATGGTATTAATTTGTGTCAAGTACAAATAAGTTGCCCTTTTAAAAATATGCATGTTGCCCTGGCCAGTTTGACTCATTGGATAGAGTGTGCCCTGCGGACTGAAGGGTCCCCGGTTCGAGTTTGGTCAGGGCACATGCCCGGGTTGTGGGCTCATCCCCAGGAGAGGATGTGCAGGAGGCAGCCAATCAATGATTTCCTCTCATCATTAATGTTTCTATCTCTTTCTTCCTCTTCCTTCCTCTCTGAAATCAATATATATACATTTAAAATATGCATGTGAATGCTTTCTGAGGCTTAGAAGTATGATAAGTCTTAACATTTCATACTTTCTTACAAATCTTCTCTAAGGGAAGATTAATTTTCAGTGCAGATGGAGAAATTGTGGCACCAAGGATAAATGATTAGTTTCAAATCACATCATTTTTCCACTGACTTGCTGGGACTAGGATTCAGGTATTGACAGCCAGCCCCATACGTTAAGATAACCAGGTTGAATATCCCAATTTGAGAATCCATGTGTGTGGTTAGGAATAAATTCAGATTAATTAGCTTCCAATCGTAATTACTATTACTTCATAGAAGAACATTATTTGAGTGATTCATTAAGTAGAGGATTTTAAAATATGTATTTTTATTGATTTCAGAGAGAGGAAGGGAGGGGGAGAGAGATATAGAAACATCAATGATGGGACAGAATCATCAATCAGCTGCCTCCTGCACACCCCCTACTGGGGATTGAGCCCGAAACCAGCACATGTGACCTGACCAGGAATCAAACCATGACCTCCTGGTTCATAAGTCGATGCTCAAACACTGAGCCACGCTGGTGGGGCAAGTAGAGGATTTTTATTTGTGAATATTTCAGTAAAGCTTGTATTGATTGTTAACACTGTTTATTTACTGATGCACTTTAATAAAAAAATTCAACTGGAGTTAGAAACTTGGTCTTCAAATTCTTTAACACAGGAGAATATTAAAGACATATCAGATATAGAAAGGAAGGATATAATTAAAGAGGATGAATATATAAAGTTTTATTTTAGTATTCCCTGGGAGGAGACTAATATAAGCAACTGCAAAATCTTAGTAATTTATGACAAACCTTTATTTCTTTTTTTTTTAAATATATTTTATTGATTTTTTCACAGAGAGGGAGGAAGAGGGATAGAGAGTTAGAAACATCGATGAGAGAGAAACATCGACCAGCTGCCTCCTGCACACCCCCCACTGGGGATGTGCCTGCAACCAAGGTACATGCCCTTGACCGGAATCGAACCTGGGACCCTTCAGTCCGCAGACCGACGCTCTATCCACTGAGCCAAACCGGCTACGGCAGAAACCTTTATTTCTTGTTCATGGGTTTACAAATCAGCTGCAGCTCTACTCAACTCAGATTGAACTCTGCTAGATTGACTCCGCTCCGCACGTCTTCCTCTGGCCCTAGGCTGATAGAACAGCACCTGCCTGGGACATACTTAGTGAAGGGCAAGAGCAAGAGACCAAACCGTACCACGCAAGCACATTTAAAGTTCCTGCTTGAATGTGGCACAGGTCAGATTGTTCCTATTCCATTGGCCTACAGCAGTTAACATGGACAAGCCAACCACTGGGCCAGAGCAGCACACTTCACCTACAGGGAAGCAGTTGCAAGCAGACTGCCAGACACTTAGTCACTGCCACTTCCCAGTGAGCGCCTGAGACTGGTAGTGAGACTTTCTTAGCGATTCTTGAGAAGGTTGACATTTCCAGCGAGCATGTGAAACCACCCATTTCAGTGCTTTATGCTGATATTTTTAGTTGTGCTTTCCTGTCTTTCCTTGTTCACAGTTCCCCCAGCTCTTCATTCTAATAATCATTGTTATATAAAAATAATCCTATAGACAAGTGTTTTAATGGTTTCTGTTTCTCCCCCAACTAGTGGTGGTGAGTTTTGAATTTGTCCCTCTAGTCCTTCTGGAGATGACCCATATTTACAATAAAACTAGCTGAGATTAGCAATGCAGCTGAGGTTCTGGAAATGATACTGGTTCATACAATAAAGTCATGACCTTAATCTCATTAATGCTCTAATTAATGAGCTAAGTAACTACCTTAACATCCAGGCTAGATCAAGTATGAACTTTGCAATTCTTGGCACTCTGGGAAGCTAGGTGATAAGTGTATTTAGGGTGATTTTCAGGGGCTAAGAAAGTCCTGCCATTATCTCAGAAATACTGGGCATGGCCAATTAACATCTACTCTACCTATAATGTAATTCCAGGCCAGACTTTTCTGTATTAGTGTGATAAGAATGTTTCCTATAATAAAGTAACATTTTACAAAATATAGAACTTAGATATAAACATTTGTAAAACACACAGTAGGTTCCATAGCAGCTAGTAGTATCTTACATGTGTTTAATACTACTACATATTTAATTACATATTTTATATGATGCTTTTCAATAAGAGAAAATAAAAAAAATTTAGAATAAATATGGCTACAGCATGATTTTATTATCTGCACACTAGAGACCCAGTGCACAGATTTGTGTACCGGTGGGGTCCCTCAGCCTGGCCTGTGGAGATGGGACTGAAACCAAAACCGGCTCTCCAACATCCCCCGAGGGGTCCCGGATTGCAAGAGGGCGCAGGCCAGGCCGAGGGACCCCACTGTTGCACGATTGGAGGGACCGCGGGAGGGCTCCAGGGCGTGTCTGGCCTTGTCTCACCCAGTCCCGATTGCTGGACCCCAGCAGCAAGCTAACCTACCGGTCGGAGCATCTTCCCCCTGGTGGTCAGTGCACGTCATAGCAACTGGTCCAATGGTCGAACGAACGGTTGGATACTTAGCATATTAGGCTTTTATTATATAGGATTATAACCTTTGTCTTCCTCTTGGCCTCCTCCTGCTTACTCATTTTCTGTCCACCAAAAAAAGATTATAGTGCCTTTTCACACTACCCAGAGAGGAAGTGCCATATGATGGTGTTCTCGGTTCCTATGCAACTTAAAGGGAAACTTGCACAATGTCCGGAGCCCCTGATGTCCTGCAAATGAAGGAGGAAGATGTCCTCAAATTCCTTGCAACAGGAACCCACTTAGGTGGCACCAACCTTGACTTCCAAATACAAAAGGGAGAGTGATGGTACCTACATCATCAATCTGAGGAGAACCTGGGAGGAGCTTCTGCTGGCAGCTCATGCCATTGTTGCCATTGGAAACCCTGCTAATGTCAGTCATATTGTGTGGTGGGCTGTTTCTGTTTCCCGCGACCCGCACGGGAAAACGACAGGTTCTTGAGCGGAGGAGCTGGGGATTAAGAAATTAAAGAAAGACCAAGATGCAGAAATAGATTTTAAGCTGGGGCCAGGTGGGCGCCATCCTCTCTGATGGAGAGGCGGCAAAAGCGGGCTGAGCCACACAGCAGGTTTATTTTAAAGGCCTAGATTTACATATCTAGTTCCGCCCCTGCCTGATTAACATGTCCAGCCTTATTGGGGAAGCATGTTCCCAGGGCGTGGCTCTGCCTAAGCTCTGAGTTCAGCTGACAATAATAATTATAAAATGCCTAGGTGCCTCCCAGGCGGCCCTCTACAATATTGTCCAGGAATACTGGCCAGCGAGCTGTGCTGAAGTTTGCTGCTGCTTCACTCCTGGAACCTTCACTAACCAGATCCAGGCAGCCTTCCGGGAGCCAAGACTTCCGGTGTTTACTGACCCCAGGGCTGACTACCAGCTT